GAGGCTCTATCCTCTCATCAGAGTTGGATAGTAACTAGTTACAGTTACTCGGTTACATTTACTTGAGTAATTTTAACTTTGAAATGCGATTTAAACCAGAGGAAACATGAAAAGTCATGCAAAGGAAATAAAATGTAAGGTAATTTTATTTATATAGCACATTTTCAGCAACAAGGCAATTCAAAGTGCTTGAATGTATAATTTGTAGTGTAAATCCAGAACACATGAGAGTAAGTTAGAGATTTTTTTGTCCTTTTTATTTTGTGAAAACTGATGTTTTTGGGGGGGATGTGTGGTACAATCAGGCGACTATAAAAAACCCTGCAGAGGTTTTGTTTTTCAGAAAGGTGTGCATGTGTATTTTTATTATATTTTGGCTTCACAGAACTCTGTGGTGCTGCTATTTTTAACTTTTTTTTGCAGCCTGACCTTCATGCTTACCTCAACATTAGAACAAACTAAATAAATGAGCCTGTGGTAAAGAGCTTCATGTAACTGTTGCTGTGTTGAAGCTCCTGCATATTTAAAATGCAAGAAAATGATTAAAATCTTTTATTTCTGGTGTTTTTAGAACATAAAACTTTTTGTTTATGATTGATTTTTCTCACTAATTTTTGTTTGTGCCAGTAAATAAATACACGTCAACATTAAAGCAGCAGAATTATTACAGAATCAGTGCGTGATTCAACACATTTTGCAGGATTATTTATCTGTACTGCTGCAGCAGTAAAAAAACGTTTTCATTCGGATGTTTTATTACAGGGACAGAAAATACTGCATCGCTTGCCGTCTTTAGGCTGTCCGGATTATTTATCACGTTCCCCATCCCGGGCGTTTGTCCGTCTTCACGTTTCTGTCAGCCTGGTTCTGTCTGATCCGACCCGATGCTCTGCAGCTCGTTGCGTAACGCGGCTGGAGGTCGGCGCAGGGTTTCCCCTCGTTCCACCGTCCAGGATTATCCTCCATGCTGCTGAAGGCCGAGCCGTCAGCGCAGGCCGTATGTTTTATCATCCTGAGCTTCGCATGTCTGTCAGGGGATGGAGGAGAACCAGGAAGCAGTTTGGTTCTGATTCTCTTGGACTGTCTGGGATATTTTTACAGTTTTAAATTGAAAACTCAAAGCTGCTTCTTTGATGGATAAATTAAATATTTAGCAGAATCTGCTGAATAATTTCTCCTCTTAGTGTTGACAAACATGTTTATTTGCTTTCTTTTCTTTAATAAAGTAATGCATGAAGCCTGTTTAGTTAACATGGAGCATAAATCTGACTTCTGACTTTTTAAAACACTATTTCATCATTTTAAAAATTATTTAAGATGTGCCAACTTATTATTTATCTATAATATTTCAATTTTTGTCTTGAAATATAAAATGAATCACTTCTTGGCCTGTAAAATGATTTCTTGCCTTAGTTTAAAAGGTGGGACTAATTGAGATTAACTCATTTTCAGGATCATCCTGGAGAGGAAAACTTTTACAAAAACTTTACATTTGATTATTTTTGGCCAAAAATCTTTAAACACGTTTTCAGTGAGTGCATGTCTGGTTTTATCCTCACTGTGTCACCAATAGAAAAGAAATACTAAAAAACTTCAACTGCATTTCTCTACAGTTTGTAAAATACAAAACCAAACAATTCATGTTTTACACAGCACAATAATGTCAATAAGTAAAAGCTGATTTACCATACAATACCTTCGTAGTTAGAAATAAAACCATTATTGAAAGTGGACCATCACCGGTGAACCCAGTGCTCTGTGGGTTTACTGGACCGGTTAGCTAAGCCTCAGTCTGGGTCTGTGCCTGGCCCAGCTTTGAGTTTTAAGTCACGCCATCACATTTTTGTGTTTGCTTTCAACCGGAGCCAGGGATTTATCCGCTGTAATTCCCTCTAATTGGAGAAATCTTAAATCCCAGCCTCCAGCCGGGCCCATATTGCTCCGTCATATGATCTGCACACATGACCGGCACTCACGGCTCTTATTGTTTCAGTAGTTGTGGTGTGAATTGTTCCATAAATCTTTAAAAAATTAGCAAATGTCACTGAGTTCATGAGCAAATTGATGTCAAAGGTCATTCTCTGTAGTTCTCAGAGGAAGAAACTGTGACGTTTTCACACATAAGATGCAGAAAATGGTCCAGGTTCCAAATCCGGCCCCCCACAGCTTTTTCTGTGGCCCTTTAGACTCCAGACACACAAGCAGCACCTTAAAGATAAAATTTGTGTGTTTAAATATTATTTTATTAATACAAGCTATAAATGTGTATTTGTGCCCCCTAGTGGCAGTAAACGTAATAAATGCCTGTTTGTGTTTTTTTCTGCTCTCTAGTGGCGATGAAAAACGTAATAATTTAATGTTTACGTGTTTCTGCTTGCAGCCATCATGTATGTGATGGGAGCTCTGGGCCCGGCGGCCGGTTACCTGCTGGGTGGAGTCTTGATTGGGTTTTACGTCGACCCAAAGACCGTGGTGAACATCGACCAGAGCGACCCGCGCTTCATCGGCAACTGGTGAGACCAATAAGCCGCTCTGTTGGGAGGAGGTCAAACATTCCTATGCCTTACAATTGTTTTTAAATGTTTAACTTTTATGAAGAATATGTTTTTTTTTTTTTTTTACATATTTGTTAAAACTGTCACTATGCCAATCTGTGAAATGATTAATTGCCATCTGAAGAAATTTACAGCTCCTGACCAAAAACAACCAATCAGAGCCAGGAGGAGGGTCTTAGTGCTGTCAATCAATGCTGCTCAATGTGCTAATGGCGGAAAAGCGAAGTCTGTTGTGTAACTTTTATGAAGAATATGTTCATAAAACATATGTTCAGAACGGGATTTAATTTGATCCCATCTTCATTTTATTTTACTGATTAAATGGAGATTTAAGTTAAAAAATAAGCAAAACTCCATCCATCCATCCATCTGTCCATCAGTTCATTCATCTGTCCATCAGTTCATCCATCCATCCATCCATCCATCCATCCATCCATCTGAATGAACCCGTTTTCTTGTTTCTTTTCTTTTTCTGAAGCTCAATCATCCTGAACTTTCTGTTATGATGCGTTTTATAAATCGTTCTGTCGTCTCTCTGAACATGCCGCTGCTGATGATTCAGATGTTCAGAGCTGCTAGCGAAGCCGCCGTCTCTCCGCCTGCGTAGCCGGTGACTCAGCAGGAAGCGGCCGTCGGGCTTCCTGCATGAATTACAGCCGATGAAGGCAGGATGGGTGTTTGTGAACGGATCGGCTCATTTACGCCCAATAACATCCAGATCGCCTCTGTTCTCGCCTCGTGTCTCTGAGTGATCTGATCAGTTGAGGCTAGTCGCTTCACACCTGGGGTGGCGCAGTGTGTGTGTGTGTGTGTGTGTGTGTGTGTGTGTGTGTGTTTCCTGATCTCCCGTTGCTTCTGTAAATGAAAACAAACTGGAACATGTTGGTAATGTTCCTGCTAAATCTGCTCCCACTCTCGAGATTCAAAATGTTAATCTAAGGTGTTTTAAAAATGTTTGAGTCGCAATAATTTCAATATCCACTATTTTATATTCGCAGTGTCTCGCAAAAGTATTAATACCCCGTAAACTTCTTTGCATTTTATCACGTTACAACCAAAAGTCTCAGTTTTCACCGTGCAGCAAACGACGCTAAATGTTTCTGATAACATTTTCACATTTCTGCACCACTTTGTGTTGGTCTGTAACAGAAAATTATTTTTATGACAAAGTATTTGGGCTATACTGTTAAAAAAGGAAATAAAATTACAAGAATAAACTTGTATCAGAATAAAATTATAATATTATGAGAAAATAATAACTTTATCAGTATTCTCATGATACTACAACTTTTTTAATGTATTTCAACTTTATTCTCGTACAACTTGAGTGTCTAATATTATGAATCGTCATGTTTCTGTTTTGATTGGAGTACCTCACAATTTAAAAATGATGTGAATGGTTATGAATGTGATCTGACACCATAGAGAAAAGGTTTCTGGTTTGGAAGACTGATTCGGTTCCCGTTTCCAGGTGGAGCGGCTTCCTGCTGTGCGCCGTCGCCATGCTGCTGGTCATATTCCCCATGTTCACCTTCCCCAAGAAGCTCCCTCCTCGACACAAGAAGAAGAAGAGGAGGAAAAAGCTGAGCCTGGACGACATGTCCAGCGACGACGACGTGCTGAAGGAGAAGAGCAACAACAGCAAGCACCAGACGGTCACCTCGTCCTTGGGCTTCGGGAAGGACATCAAAGGTGCCAGCCGGCCGCCATCTTCCTTCTGTCTTAGAGCCGCTTTCAGGAGCAAAACATCTCTGCTGAGATGCAAAGTATTAAGAAAGAAACTAGTGGTTATGATTTCAGATTTAGATTCTTTAATGTTTTTTCTCTATTACTTGAGAGAAATAAGAGTTTAATTTATTTGTAGCTTTAGTTCAGGGATTAAATCCTTCAAAATGCTTCAGTTTCAATTTGGTGTTTTCAAGGTTTTGAAAGTGCTTGATATTCAAACTGCAGAGTTTTGTAATTTAATATTTGATTAAAGATTGGAAACATTATGTACAGTTGAAACCAGACATTTTTTTAATCACTGTCTGATTTAAAATCTTACTAAAGTTTAATGTTTTAGGTTAATTACAATTACCAAGATTATTTCAATTTGCTAAATGCCAGAAAACTTTGCAAGAAATATAATTTTTTAGATGTTTCTTTGGATATTTTGTTTAAGAATTTAATTTGAGCAGGAAGGTCATTTACCTTTTAAGCAACATCTTTGGGTTGTTTCAACATAATCAATATTTAATATTTCAAATGGTTCAATTACTTATTGATCTGTTTAACTGAAATAAAGAACAGATTATATATCATACATAAAACAATGTTAATAAAATTAGGAGATTTTTTTGCTAAATTAGTGTTTTGATCTCGTTCTGGTCAGGTGTGTGAAATAAAATGTTTTGGTTCATTTTCCGTTTCTTTGCTACAAAATGTAGAAAATTCTCACAAAACATGATTAATAACAGAAATGAATATTGTCACATATCTCGTCTTATTTTAGTTCCTTTATTGATTTTATCTTCACAGTTTGGTGCTGGAAAAGTTTGAAAACTTACCTTGAAAGTGCTTGATTTTTACTGTGGGGTAAATTGGTGTCTGTGGAAGAATTAGACTGGGAACAAGCAGAGAACCAGTTTTAATTTGATATGAAACAGACGTCATAATAAAATCTATATCCTTGATGCTTTGCAGATTTCCTCCTACAAAACGTTTTTTTTTTCCTGCAGATGATTTTTAAGTAAACCAGACTTTTTCTTCTCGTCCCTCCGTCGTCTTGCAGATCTTCCCAAAGCTGCGGTGAGGATCCTCAGCAATGTGACCTTCCTCTTCGTCAGCCTGTCCTACACGGCCGAGAGCGCCATCGTCACCGCCTTCATCACCTTCATCCCCAAGTTCATCGAGTCGCAGTTCGGGATCCCGGCCTCCAACGCCAGCATCTACACCGGTGAGCTGGAGAACAGAAACGTTCATGAGAGCAGAAACGTTTCTTTATTTAACGTTGGAGAGGAGATGCAGACAGCGGGACAACACCCTGCTCTGCTCAGTTCATCTAAGCCGCTCTGCAGAGACTTCCAGGGCTGCAAGCCAGCATTAATAATAAAGAAACTGCTGGTCTCCAAATGAAGGCGAGCACCGAGGAGACGGAGCTGCAGGACTGCTCTCCAAATATTCATAAAACCTCCACACACAAACACAGATATGCACTGAAACATGCAGTTAAATCAGCAGTTATACTGTTACAACTTCTTACACATTATAAGTTTAAACTCAGTTTACCTGCATGATTGCAGGAATAGGTACCACTGAGAATTAGGGCCATACTAAGAAAGCAAAAAAATAAAATTACATGAATAAAGCTAAAATAATACGAGAATAAAGTTGTTATATTTTGAGAATATAGTCGCAGAAAGTCAAAATAATATAAGAATAAAGTCATAATATTACAAAAATAAAATCATGAGAATAAAATCAAAATTAAGACAAAGTCAAAAATATTTTGAGAATAAAGTCTTGCAAGAATAAAGTGGAAGTAAAACAAGAATTAAGTCATATTTTGAGATCAAAGGCATACTACGCAAATTAAATCAAAATATTACGATAATTAAATTATAATGCGACTTTTTCCTCTTAACATTATGACTTTAATCTTGAAATATTTAGACTTTTGAATAATATTTATATAACAGATAAGTATGTTTAATACTTTTATGTTTGACCACATGACCAATCCTCCTCCAGAACCAAGATAAAAATAAACACGAGTTATTTAAAACACCAGTTTTACCTTTTTAAATGTTAAAACACCAATGTTAATTGATGCCGATACATTATGCACCCCTACTTAAAAATATCCCGACATGAATTAGAATAAATATTGAATCTGAAGAGTTAATAAGTGTTGGTCATCAGCATTGGGAATATTAAATCTTTAGTTAAACCATAATCAAATGTGGAAAATTACAAGTTAGGAAAGAAAATAGGGCATCAGTAGTGTGGCGCTCATGAAGATGTGTTTTTTTTTCTGATGTTGTGAAGCATCACTAAGTGAAGCTTTAGGCTTCGTTTTGGTGTATTTTCCAGCAAATGGCTAACCCAACATGCAGCTGGTGACTTTTTTCTGTTTCAGTTTGTCAAACATCTGTTTTTAAATCCAAATAATGCTGAGTGGTTTGGTTTTTAGGGATAAAATGTGGAGCATCCATTTTTAAAGGAGGGTAAAGTGAAGCGTGTTAGTCGCTGGAACTCTTCATGAAGTTCATGAATGTTATTAAGTTAAAGGTTTCTGAACGATTCAGCTCATGTTCGCCTGAGTCTCCATGAAGTCACGCCTTGGGAGGCTTCTGATATCTGAGATCTTTAAGTGTTTGGTTGCATAACCGTCTCAGCTGGACCAGGAGTGGGCTGTGAAGTCGTGATTTAATCTGCCACTCAGACAGACATTTTGATTCCCACTTTATGCCCATCAGAGTAAAATCCGACCCAGAGAGCTGCTTTTACGTCTGAAAAGCTCTCCTGTCCTGGAACGTTCCACCTAATCCTCCATTTTAACACATTTTTTTGGTACAGATTTCTAAAAATCCCAAAATAAATAGAAATCTGTAATTGCTGTATAGTAATGTTGAGCTGAATGTTTTCAAAAAACCCAAACTTTAATGGTGGAAATGCATATATTATGTATTATTTGCACCCGATTCTTATACTGTTGAAGTAATTAAGCCAAAGCTGTACATAAAACATACATATTTGCATATTAGATTAAAAAAAGTATCTAAATCTATCTAGAACTCCTTAAATAGCATCGTTTTAGCGTTAACTGGTTGAAATTCTGTGAACACTTAATCTCCTACTAAGGATTGTAAAGCAGCTTTGATTTAGTCTGTTATTTCATTTCATAAGCACCTTTTGCTATCCAATTATTAATCAGTTAATACAAAAATAATCAATTAATCTGCAAATAATCAAGTGTACCATTTCATTTTAAGCAATAAAACGAGCTGAATTGTTTGTTTATTTGCATATTTAATGTATTTAAAATATTTTATTTTAAAAAAGGTTTACGTGGTTAAATGGCGTAACCATTTAACCATATTTTAGTTATCGATCCAATTCATCGATAACTAAAATAATTGTTAGTTCCAGCCATAAAATATATAGACCTCTGCGAAACTGACCTTACAGATTTTTTTTTCATAAAGCCTGTCGAAAATATTGTAAGAAAATGGAAAGCTGACAAACCAAGTTTCAATGCTACTGGAGACGCTATTGGCTGGCATTTGTAAAAAGCAGCCAATCCTAGAGCAGCATTAATTTCCCTTGATGCTGATTGGCTGAGCCCTCAAGTTCGAAATGAGGAAGACCGTGGGTTTTAGCTTCGGTGGTTGCGCTACGACGGTTTCTGCTGTGTGTTGATGCATATTAAGGTATATTTGGTGTTTTAACTATTAAAATAGGCAGCTATAAGCACTTTATTTGTTATGTTACTGTGTTATTATTGTGAAGGCTGAGGAATGTTCTCAGTCGCTCCTTTAGCTCAAATCTCCTGCTTGGTATTATCGTAACTGTGTGCCGGAAGCTGGAGGCTGTGTTCAGCTTTCAGTTTTTCTGTTGAGGTTTTTAATTCACTGGAGGATTAATGACGCAGATTTTTATCTGTTTTGACCAGACATACTTCACACCGCCAGGCATTTGTAATGTTAGCCACACTGACTGTCACTAAAAACTCATAAAACTGTTATCTTGTCAGAGTTACAAAATAATGTAACTTGGTCTAGTTTCTAGTGCAAATATCTTTATAAACTAGAAATAAGACAAAACTATTTTACATGCAACTTTTCAGCAAAATACAGGAACTTGTTTTAAATCAATAATTCCTTAATGCTGATGAAAAAGTACTAGCTCCACTGGCAGATTATTTATCTTACATTTTTTCCATATGAGTGAAATAATTCTTAATTATTTTCCTATAACTGGCTGAAAAGTTATATTTTAGTTAGTTTTTATCTTATTTCAAGTGTCTCTGCACTAGAAACTAGACCAAAAATACTTGATCCAATTTGTGTTTTTGACGTGTATTTAATTTATGGTCATCTTTAAACATTTTATTAGTTTACTAATAGAGGCTGTTGGGATTTGATGCATGTAGGGAAGAAGCTGAGAGGCAGCACGGTTTCTGCCTGGGCTCCACGCTCGCCGTCCTGCATGGCCTCCCACTCGCTGTGTGCTGCCATGGTGATGCATGGCTGCCTGGAGGCGGCGGCTGCGGCTGGGATGCTCAGCTCTCTCTACTGCTGCTCGCTGTTTAGGGCAAACTGATGGCTGCAACAAAACAAAAGCAGCTTGGAACAGTTGACCTTGACAGACATTAATGGGAAAATGGATCAGAGCTCTTAGATCAAAGCTGGTTTGTCCAAAAGAAAACCAGATAGTAATAAAAAAATAAAGCTCATGCAATAATAAAAGTAAATACTCAACAAACATATTTATTGTAAAGGAAAATGCAAAGTTTTGACAGAAACCACATGCAACTGAAAAAACGTTTAGGACGGAAAATAATAGTAATAATCTGAGACTGAAAGACGATCTTGAATCCACAAAGCAGTTTTGAGCAGATTTTTAAGTTTCAAATATTTTTTTTTTACTCAATCTTTTTTCTGTTTCCGGGTGTTTCTTTTGAACAAACTTTATGTCTCCAATTTAGCTCCATAAAAAACTAACATACTGCCCTGAAAGACCATATTTATGTTTATGATGGTCAAAGAAAAGAGTTATAGTTATATTTTTGTCATTTCTAATTATTAATGAATTAAAATCCTACAAAAACATCCACCTTTGTGTTTGTAGGACAGGAAAGTAGAAGAGGCATCACTTCCTGTCAGTTTAATGTAGAAACAGTGAGAGTTCTGCTTGTAAACAGGATTACTGCGCCTTTGTTTGAATTTAATTTGGATAAATACATTGTTGTTTCTGTTTTCCTTCCTGGACAAACAGAGCCTTGGTTTTACTATCCAGAAACATTTCCTGGGTAGTGAAATCAGAAATGACTGATGATTTATTCTCCATTTTACTCTCCTTTCTTTGACTTTTAGCAATTCTTAGACATTTTGGACTGTTGCAAAACTTATATGTTGCATTTTATGCTCCAAAGTGACTTTTGGAGCACTAAAGCAAAAACTAAAGAACAACACTTCTGTTGTCCGTCAGTTTCCCTAAAAATATTCATTTAGCTGCAAAATGTTTACATTTTTTCTGCTTGTTTGATCTCTGACTGCAGAATCCACAAACTAATGCAAAGTTCCTACATTTCTACCACATTTTGCTCATCCTACCTGCTGTGTTTATGCTTGTGCATCAGATTAACAATGCACTTTGCACTAAACACATCACATCCAATTAGGAATTCAGCAGATGCACAGACTCTGGTGTGCAAACCTTAAGCGATCTTTGTGAATTTACTCCACAGTGTTGTTAGTCTGTTATTAGCATGGTGCATCTGCTGCAGGTTTTTAGTTTTCATTGAATTAAACAGCTAAGAAAAAAATCTGCACAAAAATGTATCTAGTTCTGGATATTTTTAAGTTGCCTGACTTGTTCCTTGTTTCTGCTCCATTATTTTGTAAGTGAAAAACTAACTGGACTCTCTTTAGATGCATCATTAGGCTCAGCAGGCGGCGCCGGCCCGGTCTTCTGATGCTCTGGTACTGTTTTGTCCCCCAGGTGTGATCATCGTGCCCAGCGCCGGCGTGGGCATCGTGCTGGGCGGCTACATCATTAAGAAGCTGAAGCTGGGCGCTCGGGAGTCGGCCAAGCTGGCGATGATCTGCAGCGGAGTGTCGCTGCTCTGCTTCTCCACGCTCTTCATCGTGGGCTGCGAAAGCATCAACCTCGGAGGAATCAACATCCCCTACACCACCGGGTGAGGAGAGAGAGAGAGTTGGTGTTGCTAAAACATGTTGAGTCGTTTCAGGGGTTTTATGTTTAATCTGTTCAAGAATTTCCTGCATGTTGCATCATTTTATTCTGTTATTAATTAAAATAATTCAACAAAAAAGTCTATGTGACGTACCAACATCATAATTTGTTTTTAAAAATGTTTTCCTAATAAAAAATCTGAAAGGTGTGGCATGCACTTGTGTTCAGCCACCCTAATTGAGGACTAACAGTAATTACACACTGCAAAATCATTCCAAGTATTTTTATCTAGTTTCTAGTGCAAACATCTTGAGACAAAATCAACTTATAAGAAACATTTCAACAAGATAAAGGAGCTTGTTTTGAGTCAGTTATTCCTTAGTATTGATTTAAAAAAAAGTCTCAGTTTTAAGTGAAAGCATCAGTTTTTTCAGATATTTTTTGTCATATAAATCTTATTTTTAAGGAAAAAGCGGGGGCGGGGGGGGGGTATATATATTTTTTTATTATTTGAATTAAAAAGATTGTAGATTGTAATTTGAAGCTACGTTGCCCAGCTGCAGTGTAGCTGACTGTCTGAAATACTTCTGCACTGGTTTCTAAATACAGCCTGCAGACATTTTAAACAACTTTTTGCAGGTTCCCCCCCCCCCCCTCGCCGCTTCTCGCCTCCACCAGTAAGCAGAAACTCTGAAAGGTTTTAATCTAATCCAGTTTGGCCCCTGGGTCCATTTCGTTATCAGCTCATCTGTAAATTGGTGGAGTCTGCAGATCAGAGCGGAGATGCTGCATATTGAGTCCGTAAACGGAGGCGTTTTCTGTTTGGACGCAGCGTCTCTCGGGGAGATTACATGACTCAGATGGAGAGAGTCCAAGGACAGCTTGGGACAGACGCGCTCTGGATCGCTGCCGCGTCTTTTCACGTGTTTCTTCCTCCATCATCCTGCCTTTCTCCTTTCATCTTTTCTTTCTCCTCCCTTCTTACTCTATGCTCCATCATTTTTTTCACTAAATCGTCACTAATTCACGTGTTTCTTGCTGCATCCTGCTCATGTCGCCTGTTATTAGTCTTGCCTCTGAGTGTGTTTTCCTCTCTGCAGGCCGACGCTCACCATGACTCAGAGGAACCTGACAGGAGGTTGTAACGTGAACTGTGGGTGTAAAATTCACGAGTACGCGCCGGTCTGCGGCTCCGACGGCATCACGTACTTTAACCCCTGCCTGGCCGGCTGCGGCAGCGTGGCCAACGACACAAACGGGGTAAGAAACAGGGGTGGGAGGGGGGAAATGCACATGCAAATGATGTTTTACTATTAATATTTCAGCGGCAAATCTTAAAAACATGGAAATTCAAAAAGACAAGTCAAAAGCTATGTCAGAAATACAGAAAAGTTTATTTTTATTCTACAGAATACACACTTAAAATGACAATTCCTGAAAAATGGACAGGAATGATTATAAAACATATGCAGTCTAAGAATTTTAACAATAGGAACTGGTTGCAGAATTTTGTCAAAATTATACAGAAAAACTAAAATATTAGCATTCGCCCCTGTTAGAATTAATATTTTGTTAAATGTCTCTTAGAAAACATGTTTTTCATGTCATCTAAAAGCTTCTGTCTTCATTCTGACTGGATATTTGATCGATTTTATAGAGTTTATAGAGTTCAGATAAATTGGTCAGGGATTAGGTAAAAGTATTCCAGAAAATTAACTTTAGCCTGATTTATCCATTTCAAAACCAGTTCTGATGACGAGCCGCTCAGCTTATCCATTAAAAAACACTTATTATGCAAAATTGTTTTGTCGTACAAAAATGTGTGTCTTTTGCATTCCTTGTTCATGTGTGA